AGATTTTGATGTCTTTGTTTATTTTTAAAAAGAACGAAAATTGACAATAGGGCCGGAGACATATCACATAATGTAGACAAATTAAGTCCCCCACATACATTGTTAAACCATCATCTGAAAAGATGCTCTCACAATATATATATTGCCATATATATAGGAATATTCATAAATGGTGGTCCATTTAAAAGAAACAAAACCCATATCAGTTTCAGACAATAATGATAATCACAAACCCACCAAAAGCTTTAGACCTCCCAAAAGCTACAATAATAATACACATTTCACATTTGTATGTATTTATCCTTTTACATTGACATTTCATAGACATATATATACAGAATTGAGAGAGCCCATTCTTTAATTCCATATGTTGTTGTCACTGACTATAGATAAATCTTATTCATTCAATCATGTGTTTTCTTCTTCTTCCTAATGCTTATTTTCAACTCTATCTCTCTCTTTACTTTTCTTTCTTTGTTTTTAATTTGGTAATATATACTCCCTCCGTTTCATAATATAGGATGTTTTGCCAATAACACAAACATTAAGAAAAAGCTTTTTCTTTCAAAAAGTAGAATTTGATATATTAATTAAAACTTCAACCAACTATAAAAAAAGCTGCAAAAGATTATTGGTTACACAGTTTTCAATAAAGTAAAAAGTACTTTAAAGTATCAAAACATCTTATATTGTGAAACAAAAAAAAACTCCAAAACATATATTATGAAACGGAAGGAGTACTATATTATTTATATCTGACTTTCACACGTCTATTTTCGTTGTAAGACTAATCAAGGATTATGGACCAAAATTCATACATTTTTTCTCTCTTTCAAGCAGATTCAAAAACGCACAATTTTTGAAAAGTCGGAGAACTCGCCACTAGACCAAACCCACTTGGTCACACATTCTAAAGCTAGATTGTTACTTTTTTTTCACTAAATATAGAAAAATTGGCCTGGTTGATGCCAATATGTAAGAATATTGATTATTGATGTATTATGCAAACTGATTTACATTTTACTAGTAGAAAAAATTTAACCCCTCTTTGTAATGCATATAATGAAGGTCACACCGTGAGATATTAATTGATCGTGTCATTATTGTATAAATAATGAATAATGAGTATGGTGAAGTGATGGAGAGTTAGAGAGTAGATTGTTTAACACTGAAAGAGACCGGTGAGTTCTTCATGTTGTTTTTAACTCCACTTGCATTTGTTCTTTAGCTTTTAATTTTTGGGCTTCCTATCATTCTTATTTTCTGTTTTCTTCTAATAATTTTGTTTTCACCATTATTTTCTATATTACTTTGAAGTTCGATCCTTATATATAGCTGAACATTGTGAGGTCACATATAACGAAAAGGACAAGATATGCTTGTCCCTCAAAATCTAGACTCTTTTTTCTATCATCTTCCATATTTATGATCTTTATTTATTACTGGCCAAACAATTCATCAATTTTCTTTTTGAGAAAAAAAAGAAATATGCATATACACATATGTATAAAAGAGTGGAGGAGTTGAATCCAAGAAATGGATGTGAAGGCAAGAAAGTGAGAGATATGGTCCCCTCAACAAAAGCCATTAAACCTCTGAGCATATGACTGTGACTTTAATGGTAAAGCAAAGAGGTTTGCAATTGCATGATTCAATGAAGAGTTGCTGTTAGGGTTTGGGAGATTTGTGGGCTTTTAAGTGCATGTTTTTTTGTGGGGTTCAAATGCCATTCATGGGACCCTATTACATTTTCTGAGATTTTTTTTAGAGTGGTTGTGTATGTA